TGGTTGTATCTCCTTTTTGCTGATTTAAAATACTTCTTAATAGACTTGTGATTGATCTAGTACTAATCTCAGCCAAGTATTAGTATTAGTCTCCTTTCATTTTTCAAATTAAAAACTTTGCTTCCACCTTGTAAAGCGTTAGGAATTAAGAACTTTCCCAACGGAGACAGCACATTGTTATAGATCACTTAGCTTGGTTTCAGTTTTCTCTCTGTTTTCGTGCCCATCTGCTGTTTTTTTCTTAGCATCTTCCATCTTTTGCTTAACACTTGATGGACCTTCCAAGATGACTTCTAGGCTCCTACATTTTTGTAAGTAACAGATAAGATTCTTCTCCTCATTGAAACATTCAGCTCCTTACGTAGAGACATCATGTGGGCTTCCATGTCTCATATCTTTCATCCTGCTTATCCAGTTTGGCTTTCTGTGTGAGTATTTTGTGCCCAGAATGAGTTGTGACTGGCCAGAACGAGGTTCAGTGAACACTGGGGTGGTTACTCTTTGAGGCAGATCAGCTAACCAGTTCTAGATCCATTTATAATCATACTTTCATCTAACCTAGTGGTTTCCAAAGTGGGGGCATGACCCCGAAGAGTGTGTGATCAACCATTCAGAATGTGGAAAGATGGGTTGCATCCTACCCTTCCTGAGATAGCCAGTCATGGAACTTGTCTCCATCATAATCACACTTACCTTTTTCTCATTGTGGCCCAGTAGTCCCCTCTTTGACCTCCTCCCACTCCTAGGCAAGCTTTCAACTTGCTCCTATTTGGAGTTCAACCTCTTAGGGTAGTTAAAACATTAACTGCTACTCTGTATCTAACTGCTACTGTATCTACAGTAGCAGCATAGGTGACACTGTGAAAATTCTGCTTCTTTCCTCATCCAGCAGGTATGCACAAGTGCATGATCAGAAGAATTTGGAGACCACTGATGTAGCTCCCATAGCTCCATTTTTTTTCCCACAAGAATAGCCTGAGTGACTTTGTCAAGTGCTGAAATGCATGTAAACAATATGAAATGATTTCCCTGTTATACCTGTCAAAAAAAGAAATGGGTTCATTTGAACAAATATGTAAAGGGCTTTCATGTGAAAAAAGGAATAAATTTATTTTGTTTGATCCCAGAGAGCAAAATCGGGAATAATGCATGAAAGTTACAAAGACATCAATTTAGGCTTGATATCAGAGGGAAAGTTGTTTTTTTTTAATCAATTAGAGACAACCAAAAGCAGAATAGACTGCTTTGGGAGTTATTTTCCCTTCATTGGAGGTCTTCAAGCAAGGCTGAATGACTGCTTGTCAGGCATTTTATATTAGAGTTCTCTTTCTTGCTATTGGCTAGACTAAATGTCTGCTGAAGTTCTCAAATTCTGGGATTCTGGGAACTTGGACACTGGAAGGCCTCAGACTGGACAAAATGCTGACCATGAAGTAGGAATTGGTATGTTTTTGATCCTTACCAACGATACCCATTAGTGCTCTAAATTAATATTAAGATAAGTGAACAGGACAAAAAAATCATTGCCTGAAGGAGCCAGACAAAGGTTGTTAGAGTGAAACCTGAAACAGTTTATAGTCACGAGTTCGTAAGACCATAAATTTAGTGTTAGAAGCAACCTTAGAAATCATCAAACTCAGTCCCTTAATTTTACAGATAAGATAAACCAGCAACAAGTAGCAGATGCAGGATTTGAAGCCAAGTCATTTGGGTTATTTCCACCATACCAAATTGTGACTAAATTAGTTGTCATGCACCATGAGGCTACACTCTGCTTAACATTAACTCTGGAGACAATCACCTTTTTGAAAAAGAGATCATACTAATTTGTAATGTTCCTTCTATCTCTTAAATTCTGTTTTATTGGCCTCCTAGTCTGTAATCTTTTGCCCTTTAGTTATTGTCCTCACCAGCATGGATAACTGCAATCACTGTTGTTTTATGAGTCAAATGCTGGAGTATTCAACCTCTCTAACCTTTCTATAACAAAGTGAGGTGATCCAGAAGGAAACTAAGTGAGGATGTCCATTCTAAACAAAAACATGGGAAGGTATAGAGCTTGGTCCTGGAACAAAGACCCTCTTCAGGAACTAAAGTTGAAAAGATGAGTAAGACAAAGATGACATGAGCCAGTATCAAAAATTATAGCTATCCCTCTCTGCCTCTCCCACCCCCCTCCCCCAATAAAAGAGAGTAAATCTGTAACAACTATAAGCAGAGAAATAGGGAAAAATGGATTTTCTACAAGGAGTCCATGAATACCTAGAAGAAATGAAATAAGAGATTAAAAAATGAAATAAAAACTCTCGAGGAAAGAACTAAGAGAATAAGTAGTCTGATTTAGAAGGGGGAAAAAAGGTCAGCCTTATCCAAGATACGCACTTTTTGAAATCAATGACTCCATGATCAAATAAAATAATATTTGTAAAGCACTTAGCACAGTGTCTGACACATAGTAGGTGCTATATAAATTCTTCCCATAAGACAAATATTAGAACAAAATTTAAATATTTTAAAAATAGAAGAAAATGTAAGAAATCTGATATCAAAATCAACTGACTGAGAAAAAAGGTTAAGGAGAAATAATTTAAGAATCATTGGACTTTTTGAAAACAATTATTTTTAAAAAGTCTGGGCACTGTATTCCAAGAAATCACAAATGAAATCTACCCAGATCTATTAGAACCTTAGGGCAAAGTAAAGATGAAAAGCATTTATCAATAACCTCCTGAAGGAACCCCAAAAGGAAAGGTTCCATGAATGTCATAGCCAAAATCCAGAGCTCCCATATGAAAGAAAAAATATTGCAAACATTCAGAAAGAGGCAGTTCAAGTACCAAGGAACCAGTCAGGATCACACAAAATCTGGCAACTTCTACAGTAAATGAGCAAAAATCTTCTAAAAGATTTCGTATCTCTCACCCAGATTACCACTTGTTCCACTCGCCCTGAAAAACTTCTAGATAGAGGCCTCTTTAGATATAGGACAGGATGACAAAAATATTCTAAAAGACAAAAGACATGGACTTATCACCAAGAATAACTTAACCTGCAAAGCAATGATGATGCAAAGACCAATTTTGTCTTCAGAGGACCCACAATGAGACGTGTTACCTGTCTCCTCCAAGAGCTGGGTTGGATTCCATTATGCACATTATTAGACATGGCCACTGTGTGGTTTAGCTTTCCTTAATTATTCTTATTTGTTTAAAAAAAGGTGGGCTTTTTTTTTTCCATTTCTCTTGTTTTTTAAAAATTACATTGGGGGAGGTATTGAGAGGGAGGAAAGGGTTAGTAATAGTGACATCCTCCCAAATTTAGGGTCATTGCTTAAAATACACATGAAAGAACAGAAGAACTCTAGAAGGAAAAAACAGACAAATAGAAAAGTTTTGAAAAGAATGTACGTTGTTTATTATATACTTTAAAAAAACAAAAGCAAGCAATATCAAATGGAGATTCATGGTTTCATTAAAATTCCTCTTTTGTGTTCAAATTTGTATATATGGAAATGTTCTTTTTGTATGCAAGTTCAAAATAAAAAATAAATTAATTTAAAAACTTTAAATAAGTGTTATGAGACCACAGATGTGGAACACTGCCTATAATATTAGATTTTTTTAAATATGTTGGTTAATTTTCTCAAATTTTTTTCAATTTTTATTCTTTATAAGAAAGGTAAGATAAAAGCAAAACATGTCTATAAAATTCCATTTAAAAATAAAGATTAGTGAGAAAGATAATTCTATCTAGGTATAGCAAGAATTTATCTAAAATTTTTATCAAATGCTTTACCAACTTTTTCTCCATTCAGTTGTATTACTGTAATTATTGAGGTTAAAATTTAGCTGTTGTGCAATATCAAAATTGCCATGAAGCCTGAGGAGTCTATCCAAATGTTCTGACCCTTTAGTTAAACAGTGATAGTTCTTAACTTGCTAAATTTAAAGCCTAGTTGGAGACCCAGGGTAAATGGCCCTCCTGTTCCCCACTTATGAATGGCTTTGCCAATGATAGCTCATAAGGCTACTTCCATAATCCCCTTTATCTTAGGCAGTGCTCACCATATTTGCTCTTTCTTTTGCTAGACAGCATTGGAAGGATCAACATTGCTTGTAGATGTGTATAGTGTGTGTGTGTGTGTGTGAGTGAGAGAGAGAGAGAGAGAGAGAACATCCCTCCTGTCCTATATCTAAAGAGGCCTCTATCTGGAAGTTTGTCAGGGCGAGTGGAACAAGTGGTCACCCGGGTGAGAGATGCAAAGCATGCCGTCAATTGAGCAGAGTGAAGCAGAGCCTAGTCCTGCATTTTTTGATTCTTATTTTGACAAGTTATTCTTGTTCAGTTCCAGCTTAACTGCTAAATGATTCAGTGGGGATAATGAGTAGGTCTTGGAGGCAGAAGACTTGGGTTCAAGTCCAACCACTGCCATATACAGGCTGTTAAATTTTGGGTAAATCAGTTAACATCTCAGTACTCCTAAGCAATTATCTGAGGCTTTAAATTGCTAGGAAGGTGCCAATCTGCGCTGGCATTGGAAGTTCTTCAATGGGAGCTTCCTAAACCAATAAAATCATGGGTCTGGCCCATTCTTGCTAAATAAATGCTGATCTCTGTTACTTCTGCCTACTGAGAAACTTCCAATTTTGGGAGTACCCGCTAATTCATTGTCCTGAGCCAAAGCCCCAGTGACCTCATCTTAGTTACAGTTTTGGTCCCATCACACTGGAATGCAGGGGAACACAGATTGCTCTTTTCCACAAACTCTCCTTGACTCTCTTGGCCTTTCTTTTTGCTCTCCCTTTCCTACCACTCGTTTCCACCCCTCACTGAGAAAGATGATTACTCACAAAGACAATTCAAGCACAGAAATAGCCAACCTATTTGTAGCTTAAATGCTGGCAGTTTTATTTTTACAGAATTGCTGTATTCTCCCTAAGTATAAATCATTATCTACCACAAATGAAACTCAAGTTCCATCTGTAACAGTTCCTGCCTAACTAGTGGTGCCAATTAGTCACAAAAACAATTGTCACCTTCTACTACCCACTCAAGAAGGGAGGGAAAGAAAAAAAGAGATTCATTTCACCCAGAGTTTCCATTGCTTACTATTGGTCACTCTCTCCTCTTAACCGGGTTGCCACTCCAGCTTCCAGCTGGTCTTTTCCTCTTTCACCCTCTGGCTAGGATTGTACTAACCAATCTCTGCTGCCAGTATGGACAGACTCTTCTGTTCTTTTAAGAGTTGGTAGAGCAAACTGGTAAGTCGATCAGTTCTGTTGACTTAAATAATGACATCATAGGCACTCTTGCAGTTGTAAGCTCTGCCTAGGGTTTCACAGCCCCAAGAGGAACAGAATGAATCTTTCACAAAATCTGGATGGTCTTTCATGCCCTGAAAAATAATTAAATGAAAAGCAAGAAAGCAGGGAAGTTCTTTCTGTCTTTCTTTCTCATTTCCCCTCTCTTTGTTCTTCCCTGCCTTCAGTGTCTCTTCTTATTTTTTGTAACTGCCCCCCCATATCATTGCCAATTTGCCTGTTATTTTTATTGTATCCTCATTGTCCTCTGCGTATATGTATGTGAGTGTCATATGTGTCTGTCTCGTCCCTATCTGCATTCGGGAGTCTTCCCTTTTGTCTTGTAGCTTGCCTTGTTTTGATGATTCCCCATGTTCAGTTTCTGCATTTTCTCTGAGAAATGCCAACTGCTCCAGTGGACAGGACTCTCACTTACCTGGAGGAATAAGAATCAGGTACCAGAAGTGTGTTCCATGAGTTTGTGGGACTGACTTGGCTAATTTTGACTCTATGTGACACAGGCAGGTTCGGAGGCATTTGGAGTTCCCCAATTTGGGCTTGGGGTTGAGCGATTTTAGGGGCTGGCTTTTCCTTTTTTTATTTCCTTCTTTCTATAGGAAGACCAGAATAGCAGGTCTGTCTTCCCATTCTTTTGTGTGTGTTTGGTCTTGATTATTATGGAAAACAAACTGAAGAAAAGTGATTTCATAGATATTTGTTTACCATAGAATGTGGACTTCCCTTCTCCCCTTTTTTATATCTGATCCATTCTCTAGGTCATGTGCTGCTTCTCATGCTGTTGACTTTGTCCACTGGCTTATGATCGGTTTGAAGATAGAAGGAAAAAGGAGAAATTATCTTTTTTTGGCCATTTATTATGATTCTGGCCCTTCTTATTATTTGCTCTGAGACAAAAGTGCTCTGATATTCTACCCATCACCCTCAAGGGGATTTGAATTGGGTCTAGTTGCCATTTAGTATATTGGCAGAGGGAAGGTGATAGGAAAAGGAGAAAAACTTACATTTAAGTGAAGAGACCTTAGTTTTCTGATTGTGTAGGAAGAGATCTGAATTCTGACTTTAGTGTTTGCTCCCAGGAAGAAGTTTCCAGAATTAGGTAGATAGGAGAATGCTCAGAGCACCCTGATATAGCCTTAACTGCTATCTCCTACCTCTTAGCTAACTAAGTGGTTTTCCTAGTATTTGTCCAATGGGGCACTTTGCTCTTACAGACTGCATTGTGCATATGGTAGCCAGAAAAGAGAGATGGGAAGGAGCTGTTTTTCTCCTGTTGAATTTTGCCCTTCCTATTAACATGTTATTAGGTCATTTATCCCTTCGTATTTCATATCATAGCGATTGGTCCCCAGCTGGCCCTCACTGGGGTTTGAAGCAGGTCCATTTTCATATGTCACTCTCTCCTTCATACCTACTGCAGTTTAGTGTGAAGATTTTCCCTCAGATGTGTCACTGAATGATGCCATTGGAAGCATAGCTTCTGCTGATAAGCGTGGGACCATCTGCTTGGCACATCGCAAATATTTTCAGTCGTGGGAGAGCAGCCCTTTATTTCAGTAGAGAAAGGAGGCTCCAGCCACACTTCAAGAAGAGGCTGAGGTTGGAGATCCTCTGACTGAAGGGTGGGGAGGAGGGGAAATCTGCACCCTCTGGATGGATGCCCCAGAATGCTGAAGAGGATCCTTCCCATGGGAATCTCTGGACCCTCCCATGAGGATAACATTAGTAAGTCTCTCCTCCTATTTTAATCATTCAGGTGTTGTCTTTTTTTTAACCAGAGAAAAAAAGAAAAACTACCATTCAGAGAACTGCTTCTGTGCTGGTCACTCCGTCACGTATGAGATGTTTGCTTGTTGGGTGTGTGTTGTCAGTAAGCTCTCTCAGTTTCACACTGTTATTTTGGAGTGCTTTGTCCTTAAGTGTTAGTTGTTTTGGGTCAGATGTTTTATACCTTCCCCAACCTTCCTTGAAAATTGCCATTAGGCAACTTCTCGTTGATCCAGGTCAGGAGGTGAAGGTCTTAAGATTAAATCTTGGTTGGTGGAGTCTCAAGTTGTAAAAGCGGCTTTCTAAATAATTCCTTTCTGGCCAGGTGTTTGGACTGATTCGGGGTTGGGGGTTGGGAGAGAACTGTTGCTCCCTTTGCCTCCCCATCCCTCAATGATATTACTAGGGAAAATTTTGGAGTGTTGACTTGAACAAAGTGTGCAATAGCACATGTGAGGGAGAGAGTGTGATGTGTGAGGAAGAGTATTGAATTTGGATTGGAGATGAGTTCATGCACCACCAGTATGACCTTGGGCAAGTCACTGACCTTTAAAATGAGGGGACTGGACAAAATGGCTTCTGAGGTTTCTTCCAGTTCTCGATTTGTGAACCTGTGATTTCTAGGCTCCCGTCCAGCTCTAAACGGATGATCAAAGAAGAGCAGAGTTTGCTCGGCATCTCTCTCTGCTTTCAGACACAAGGCATCAGCACTAGCTCTGTGGTTGAAAGAATCAGAAAAGCAATCATTGAGGACAAAGTTTCTGATAAAAGAAGTTTCTGAGTCTTAATCTTGAATGTAGGCATCTTAGTGATGCTGACTGGGCAGGGTGCCTGGGGCTGATTTAGGCCATTCAGTGCACAGCATGGGAGTTAAGAATAAGAGGTTGACATTATAGGGTTAGGTCCAAGAACTGGAGACAGGTTTCTGGAGCGCCCCTCTCGAACTGTTTTCATTTGGTTTGGTTTGGTGTGTTAAATGAGGATCCTGAGGCAGCATGGGATTTGGGAGGTCAGTAGCGTGGAAGTATTGGAGGGGAGTAGCTAGCTTCTTCAGTCTCCACGGAAAACAGCAACAACAGCAAACTTTAGAGAGACTTTCACTTGAATTATTTTCACTAGTTTTGTCTACTCTTTCTTGTTTCCCCTTTTAGTTTCTTTCTGGCTGAAAAGTAAATATAGCCTACACATCTGCCAGGGCACAACCCGATCAAACTTTAGTTTTAAAAGAAATATTCATACCTAACTTCCCTGCATATCGAATAATTTTCATAACCTGGAATTTCATATATATATATATATATATATATATACACATACATATATATACACACACACACACGCAGACTCATACATTGGCAAAGTGCTCTATAATCTCTCTTCTTTCATCTTTTAAAAAATGTTTTCATTCTATTATTTTTACAAAATTTTATCAATTTTTTAATAGCACAGTCATTTGCTGATATACCCCCCCATTATACTCTGACTTGTAATAAAATCAATTATTCCAAACCAGCTGAAAAAAAATGACCGTGTCTAGCAGTTCATGCAACATTCTGCTCTACCTCTTTCCCCAAAGAATTGTGTTTCATCAGTGGACATTGCAGTTAACCTGTGTTCTCTTGCCTTTTTGTGTTATTTGTATTTACGTTATTAGTCACTGTGCATATGATACTCATGGCTCTGCTTAGTTCTGCCCTATATCAGTTCATACAAATCCTCCCATGTTTCTCTGCAATTCCTCATATTCATTTGTTTTTTAGAGACCAATACTATTACATTACAGATGTATATCTCAGTTTGCTGAGTTATTCCCTTGTCATGGTATGTCTTTGTATTTTTTTTGGTGAGGCAATCAGGGTTAAGTGACTTGCCCAGGGTCACACAGCTAGTAAGTGTCAAGTGTCTGAGGCCAGATTTGAACTCAGATTCTCCTGACTCCAAGGCCAGAGCTGTATCCACTGCGCCACCTGGCTGCCCCATGTCTTTATGTTTTCTTAAAACTACTCTGAGAAATATGTCTTCAGAAGTATTATCTCCATGTTATCAGGGATGAAATGAAAAGGAAAGACTAAATTACCCAAACAAGGACATGTACTCCATAGCCTGGGTAGAATTAGGCCCTAAGAAGAATCAGCCTTAATACACAAAAGGTAGCTGACTATATATTATTTGAGGGCCAAAAAGGTTCCCTTAGTCCAAAATCATCCCTCCTAACCAGGTGTCATGTTGCCTAGAATTCTACCATTAATATGAATATTTGTGTGTGTGTGTTAAGAATCCCCCCTCTTAAAAGCTTGGTGGTCCTGATTTTTTTTGTTTGTTTATTTGCCTTTTTGGTGAGGCAGTCAGGGTTAGGTGACTTGCCCAGGGTCACACAGCTAGTAAATGTCAAATGTCTGAGGCCACACTTGAACTCAGGTCTTCCTGACTCCAAGGCCAGAGCTCTATCCACTGTGCCACCTAGCTGCCCTGTGGTCCTGGTTTAAAATGCAGATATCCTTAGGAGAAGTAGCTTTTGGAGTTACTAATACCATAGCATGAATTAATTTATCCTTGTTCAGAGACACCAAGGACTGTATGAAAGAGGAAGAGGAATTTTCAGGAAGAAACTATGGAAGTCTTAACAAATAAACCACCTGCTTTTCCCCCAGCGCTCTACGTTTCTAAGAGATTGCTTAAGCTCAGACTTGATGAGGGGCAGATGAAATGAGATTCATTCTTCTTGTTTTCTGGGGGCAGATGCTATCTTACTCTTTTTTTAGTGTACTCACCTAAAAGGATTATTCTGGTGAGCTAGTTCACTGAGTAGTGTGGTAGAAGTCACACTCAGTCTGAGTTCAGGAGGGACCTGTGTTTGAATCTCATCTCTACAATAACAAATGTGTTCAGTTGGGGTTTTTTTGTTTGTTTTGTTTTGTTTTGTTTGAGTAGTTTGTGACTCTTTGTGACCTTATTTGGGGTTTTCTTGGCAAAGAGACTGGAGCAGTTTGCCATTTTCCTTCTCCAGCCCATTTTACAGATGAGGAAACTGAGGCAGACAGGGTTTAGTGACTTGCCCAGGATCATGTAGCTAATAAGTGTCTGAGGGCAGATTTGAACTCAGGAAGATGAGTCTTCCTGACTCCAAGCCTGGCACTCTATCCACTGTACCACCTAGCTGCCCTACAATGACTAATCCTGTGTACCAGATTCTTTGGTCCCTATCACTTCTCTGTACTGTGATTGAGAACTTTTTTGTAACTGAGTTATACTATGTGGCAGGCAGAAAAAATGTATACTTCAGCTCCCTACATCTCTATAATTCAGTCACAACCTAAATTCCTCAGCCTCCTTAAATTTGGCCTTCCATTCGTCTCTAGGTCCTATGTAATGGGAATGTGCTTTCTAGCATACTTATTCAAATAAAACTCTACAGCAACAGAAATTGCAGAGCCTGTAAGAAGGGAGAGTTGTTATAAAAGGATTTTAATCTGTATTCTAGTCGTAGGCATGTGACAAATTGGCTGAATCTCTGATTCACACATTAGAGAATTATTTTAATTAATGATTGTTCCTAAATTTATGCAAGTAGGTTTTTTTTTTTTAATATTGGTTCCTCCAGGGGCATTTTGAGTGGGTCTGCTCTCTGAATGCGACTGACTGGTTCTTGAAGCAGACAGCGTTGCTGTTCATTATAAGATTCATTATCATTATCAGGTTCATTATCAGATCACTCCTACATTTAGTCATAATCTGGTATTTTAACAACAGGCAATTCATTCTTTCAGTTTCCTGTCCCCTTTTCCAGTAATGTCATTGTCCAGCAAAGCTGTTAATGCTATCAGACTATCATGATATGAGGTCAATCTGGGATGGCTTTAATTGGTTCCTATACAAAGCTTGATGGACTGAGCTATACTTATTAGGCTTGATATTGATTGATAGTTAAGTCAGATGCTGACTGGTGACTCAGGAATAGTGAAGGATGCTTCATTTGTTTCTTCCTCTTTCCCATTTCTTCTTCCTTTCCTTGATTAGGTTCAAGAAACTTTAAGGAAGCGGGATGAGTATGCTACCTCTCTAGAAATGCTGGAGCATCATGGGACATTAATTATTTCTTTAGTTTACTGCTTATTCTTTGCCATTTCCATTTCATAAGGATCTGAGACAATGGTATATTGATGAATTTTTAATAATCCACTCTCTGGGAAAAAATTTTTTAATTTAATCTGCATCATTAACATTTTCTCTGTCACTTTATTAAATCTTGTTAAGTTAAAAGAACAGTAAGTCAAGCCCTTATTTGTAGTGTTTGCCAATTTCTGAGGTGTAAATGTTCACATTGAAAATTTAGCAACCACCTCTTGCCTATTCAACCTGGATCTAGCACATCCCTGATGGGGAATGACTTAATACAAGAATTATGAGGGGGCATTGCATCTGGAACATGGGAGGTTATAATCAGGTTGTAATCTGTCCTAGTCATATCACATTGGCAATCTAATGTTGGGTTTGAGGAATGTCATTTTGAAACTTGAAGGGTGTCCAGAGGAGTGTAGCCAGAGTATTTTGGTCTAGTCCTCAAGATCACGCCAACAGTGTCATATGAGAAAAGGGGAACTTTGTTGTTTGTTTGTTTTTTCCTTTTTCTTTTTTGGTGAGGCAGTCAGGGTTAAGTGACTTGCCCAGGATCACACAGGTAGTATGTGTCAAATGTCTGAAGCTGGATTTGAATTCAGGTCCTCCTGACTCCAAGGCCAGAGCTCTATCACTGCACTGCCTAGCTGCTCCGTAAAAAGGGTTTTTTTTTTTAATCCTAGAATGGAAAAGACTTAGGTGTAAGGTGGATGAGTGTATGGTGGGTTAGCCTCTCATCTGAAGGGCTGTTTTGGAAGAAGTATTAGAAGTGTTCTGTCTGACCCTGGAAGAAATATCTAGAAGGAATGGTAGATGTTATAGAGAGATTTCAGCCCAATACAAGTGTTGTCTTACAAGGGAATGGGTGATCTTATTAAGTATATTAGTTTCTTGGAGCTTGGTCAGACATTGAAGACGCCAAGGTCATCCATTGCATTCCGAGCTATCAACAATCATTTTGACTTTTATCCTGCCACTGGACTTTGACTCAGGAAGAGAAAGTAAGGCTAATGATGTTGTGCAACTTTGCCTCACTTACATCCCATTCGTGAGCAAGTCAAGACATCACCCGATGAAATGAAGGATGAACAACAACAACAAGACAGGCTCATTTTCAGAAGCGAATGGAACATGTAGAGGGTATTTAGCTCAATTGGTACCTGAACAAGAATTCACTCTATCACCAACCCTACAAATGACCATCAACCTTTGCTCAAAGACCTCCAGGAAAGAAGAAACCATTATTTACCAGGCAGGCCGTGCTACTCTCTGATAGCTTTAATTGTTAGAAAGTTTTTCCTTACATCAAGCCTCTGTGTAGCTTCCTCCCTATTGCTCCAAGTTCTCCCCTCTAGGGCCAAATAAAACAAATATAATACTCCTTTTACATGCTAGCTTTCTAAATATTTAAAAACATTCCATCACTCCTCTGTCACTTAGTAGTTGTACAAGTGACAGGGCAGCTAAGTGGTACAGCAGATAGAGTGTTGAATTTGAAGTCAAAAAAACCTGAATTCAGATCTTTTCTCAGACTCTTACTCAGTAAACCTGGACTTAATCTCACTTAACTTGTCTCAACCTCAGTTTTCTCATTTGCAAAATGGGGATAATAATAGCACCTACCTCTTAGGGTTGTGCTGAAGCTCAAATAAGATAACATGTGAAATTCTGTGCAAATGTTAAAGTGATATATGTATATACACGTGTATGTGTGATAGCTATTATTATTGTGTGATTTATGAAAGTTGCAACCTCTCTGGGTTTCAGTTTCCACATCTGTAAAATGAAGGTTAGGGTTAACTTAGAGCCTACTTTTTAACCTAATAGTTTTCTATTTAAGTTATTAAGAGTTACATTAAAAAAAAGTAAAACCGGTACCGAGGTTCAGACTTATCAAAAGCTGTATTTCATTATAATTTTATAAAAAATTAATTATTCCATACATTTTAAAGACTTTAAAAATAAAGACAAAACAAAGTTGTATTTGGATATACAAAATATTTAAAGAAGTTATACTTAGGGTTTATGTGAAAAAATTTAAAGATAAAAGATTGACAGAAATGGTGTTTATCATTAAATGTTATACAATGATTATATGTTTCTTAATGAATAAAAAGGATAATATGGTAGTGTTGCATAGGGGATAGAGTGCTAGATTTGGAATAAGGGATATCTGGGTTTGAATCTTGCCTCTCATACTTATAAGCTGAGTTTGTTGTTATTTTTCAGTTGTTTCAGTTGTGTATGACTATGACCCCAATTGGGGTTTCCTTGGCAAAGATACTGGAGTGGTTGCCATTTCCTTCTCCAGCTCATTTTATAGACGAGGAAACTGAGGTAAAAAGGATGAAGTGACTTGCCCAGAATCACAGTGTTCATAAGTGTCTGAGGCTAAATTTGAGCTCAGGTCTTCCTGACTCCAGGCCCTGTATTGTATCCACTGTACCACCTAACTGCATTCCCATGTGTTATCACATTTCTCTAAATCTTAATTTTCTTAGCTGTAAAATAATACTTACAATATTATTATATATTTGGTCCTTATTTATCATATATAGTATTATAGTAGCTTGTAAGATTGTTATGAGGCTCAAATAATTTAATATATGTAAAGTGCTTTGCAAACCTTAAAGCATTATCTAAATGTTAGTTATCATTATTATAAGGATAATATTGACAACATTATGTTAAAAGAGGAAAAAGTAATTGTGTTAAGAAATTGGCCCTTAAGCTGACTTAGTTCAAGAGCCAATTTTATGAACAAAGGGGTCACACCTTTCCTAGTCCTACTAAAGTAAGTTTGTCAAAAAATATTAAATGTAATAAAATGTATATAAGGACATCTAGTACATCATAAAGATAAAAGTTTTTTTTTAAATACGCAAGAAACAAATTACTTTGAGAATTGTACCCTGAGCTTGATTTGACAGCTTTGAGAGGTTACCATAGCCGCTCCTAAAATTTGGTACATCAACACTGTACGTTGTGCCATTTGTAGAGTTATACTTTCACAAGATTAACACTTAATCATACCATGAGTCAAGGGAAGAGGCTCAGACTTAATGATTTCAGTCTTCTCTCTGACTTGTGATTAGAAAATTTTTTCAGTCCTTTTTATACCCTTGACCATTGCTCTATGTGTCTTCAAAGCATCCTAAAGATCACACTCAGTAAAACTTCGAGGTGTGTGGAGCTGGGGTGACATGTTTTTCATAGCCTCCATAATGCTCCTGGTCTCTTTGTAAATCAACCTGGGGCAAGAGAGAAGGAGTTAGGCATAGCCAGCACAGCTAGCAATCTCTGCTCTAGATTATAGAACCTGGATCTAGAGCCTCGAGGAAGGAACTTCTGAGACCATCTAGCCCAATCCATCTATTTTATAGATAAGGAAGCCTCAGAGTCTTAGGGAGGTTAAGAGACTTGCTTAAGGTAATACAGATACTAAGTGTTAGAGACAAATGTGAACTCAGGCCTTCTGACTCCAGAGTTGATTCTTTTGTTCAGTATTCTTGTTTTTATTGTGTTTTTCCTGTCAGCCACAAAATCACTGATCTCCATACATTTATTAAAGCACTAGTTCAACATAGAGGCTTACAAATAACCATCTTCTAAGATTAAAGTAAGGGTCAAGCCTCCTAAATGGCTGTGTGTTGACAGCCTTCTTTTCTATCATTGCTTCCAGGTTAATTCTTTGTTAAATGTCTATCAGCAGTGTTCTTGTTTTGTTCTCTTGGATGTTTTCATCTATATGTTATATATTTCTGAAAATATATTCTGCTTACACTTACCATATGTTACCTAGGAAGTATGTTTGAATACAATAACCAGCTCGACTAGGTGCCTTCATAAGGGATATTTCATATCTAAGTGCTTTTAGCTGATTTTCTTTTCTGTGATTTTTTTCTTCTAGCTTGGTTTGTTTTTAGTATACTAGCTTTCTTAAGCATTAATAAAATAGCTTACATTTGGAAAGAAAAAACAATTTTACTGTGTACTCCCTCCTTATTGAGTATTACTTTTGACTTATGTTTTGTGAGGTCAGTTGAGTTCATCTCAGTTATAAAGGCAGAAGAAATGAGATATAGGAAGGTGACTTGACTTTCTTTTCTTTTTTTTTTATGTTGTATTGATTGATATATTTTTGTCTTTATATCAACTTCATTTCCAAATAGATCCCCTCTTCTACTGCCCAGAGCACTATCTCCTTAACAGAGACAAAAAGAGAAAAAAATTGAAACATTTTCTGCAAAACTAACCTGTATATCAGTTGAGTCTGAGAATATTTGTAATGTTCCACAGCCATAGTTCCACCACCTCCTCTTCAATGAAGAGATGGAGGTGCATTTTCTCATCATTTCCTCCCAGCCAAGTTTGGCTATTATACTTAGCATTCAGTTACTTCCTCCCTCCCTTCCTCCTTTCTTTCCTTCCGTCCTTCCTTTTTTCTTTTTTTCTTTTTCCATTCTTTCAATTTATATTGTTGTAGTCTTCATGAGTTTTATTTTGCTGATTCTATATCAATTCATGTGAGTCTTTTTGTGCTTCTCTGTAGACAATTGACTTTCTCAGAGCTAGACAGAAAATTTTGGCTAGGAACTGAACAGTTCTCAACCTAGTGCTTTTTCTTTCTTTTTTTTTTTTCTTTTGCAATGGTCACTCATCCCACTGCTGATTAATATAGGAACTCTGGCCTGTTTTGTTTCTGACCTGAATTGGTTTGCCCTTTCTAAAGCAGCCTGATTTCTCCCTTTCCCCATGTGCTCTCTTCCTCCCACCCCGCCCCCCAGCTCCATCACCCCTGCCAAGGACTTACTACCATATTGTTGCCATACAGTATGGACATTGGATCATCTTAGCCTATTGCAGCTCAGAACCCCCAAGTTCAGCTTCAGCCTCCCCAGTAGCAGGGATTGTAGGTATGTGCCACCATGCTGGGCAACTTGGTGTTTTTACTATGCTCCTTCTGGCCCTGATTAAATATGTTAATATAGAATTCCAGAGAAAATGGGGATCATGAAAGGTCACCAGATTGGCCTTCCACATCACTGCCATTCTCAGAAAGAAATTGTATTGCCTCTCTTTAAAAAGGTTTATAGCATACATGTTATAACTATTCATATTGAATTTCTCTCTCCTGTTCAGACTCACTGATTGCATGGCATATTTTTGGACCCATTCACAGAAAAGAAGCCCTGCTCTAAGACTTCCTCATGGATGAAGCAAACCTCACATCATTTATCCCTGAAACTCTAGGGAACACTTCCACCAACAGGAACACATCTACAGGAGATGTGGATCGGAAAATCCCAATTGTGCACTGGGTCATCTTGAGTATCTCCCCACTGGGCTTTGTTGAAAATGGAATTCTCCTGTGGTTTCTCTGTTTTCGGATGAGGAGAAACCCCTTCACAGTCTACATCACCCACCTGTCTATTGCCGACATCTCTCTGCTCTTTTGTATCTTTATTTTGTCAGTTGACTATGCTCTAGATTATGAGCTATCTTCTGGGTATTATTATACCATTGTCACATTATCAGTGACCTTTCTGTTTGGCTACAACACTGGCCTCTACCTCCTAACAGCCATCAGTGTGGAACGTTGTCTCTCAGTCCTGTACCCCATCTGGTACCGATGTCACCGCCCTAAACATCAGTCTGCTTGTGTCTGTGGCCTGCTCTGGGCTCTTTCTTGCTTGGTGACCACAATGGAGCATGTCATGTGCATTGACATTGGAAGAAAGGGCCACTCCCAGAGTGACTGCAGAGCCGTGATTATCTTCATCTCCATCTTGAGCTTCCTCGTGTTCACGCCTCTCATGGTGGTGTCCAGTGTGATCCTGGTGGTGAAGATCCGAAGGAATAGCTGGACCTCTCATTCCTCCAAGCTCTACATAGTCATCATGGTCACCATTATCATCTTCCTCATTTTTGCTATGCCCATGAGACTTCTTTACCTCCTGTACTATGAGTACTGGTCGACGTTTGGGAACATGCACCATATTTCCCTTCTCTTCTCTACCATCAATAGCAGTGCAAACCCTTTTATTTACTTCTTTGTGGGCAGCAGTAAGAAGAAACCATTTAAGGAGTCCTTAAAGGTAGTACTGAACAGGGCTTTCAAAGATGAGATGCAACTAAGACGCCAAGAAGACAACCCTGATGCTAGTGCTGCTGAGACTGTGGTCTGAAGCTCAGGAATTTAATCATGGGGATTTATGCTGCTTGAAGTTGCTGCTGGGGAAGCAGATATTTCCTGGACAATCCCTGGAATGCTTTTTAAGCCCATTCTAAGTATGGCATAGCAGGTGTCCTTACCAGATGCAGGTGTATGGTTGGATTGGTACCATGTACGTAGCTTCTGGAACTGCCTACACCTGCGTCAGGCCTGTATTAATTTACCCACCACAACACCTTCTCTTTCCTCTAAAGTTTTGTGACAGCGTTACCCCCAAGGAGCTGTAAAAAAGAGTTACAATTGAAACATTTACAAATATTCCCAGAAAAATAGCAGAAGGATATGTTGGAACTTGGATTCTTTTACAATAGTAAAAGAAAAAAAAGACTTAAAAAACCCAGCTTTATCATGTGCACATTCTTTATTATTTTAAAAATTTTATTTATAATAAATTTTTTTTCCCTTATAGCACTTAAATCCAATGGAGAAGTATATCTCTATTGAAATCCTGTGCAGCTTCTGCAATCTTGAACTGATAACTCTTGATACGTTAGGCAATAATCTTAGGGTAGCATGATGTAATAGATAAATGGATGGCCTTAGGACTGAGAAAGCCTGGGTTTAAGTCCTATCTCTGACATATTCTAGTTGTGTGAACATGGGCAAATCACTTAACCTCTCACTGTCCCAGGCAATCAATCATCTAAGACTATTAAGTTACAAATGAGTTGTTGATCTCTGCTGGTGGAAGGACTTTCCACACTGGGAGTTTCCACAATGATAAGATTCGGGGGAAAACGATTGGGGTATGCACTTCCTCCCCCCCAATTACTCTCAGAGGAAGAAGACGGAACTTTGTGGCTTCTTTTGGAAGAAATCTTGATTTAAAGAATTGTCTGTATTTTTGAGTCCTTTGTGTTGTATTATAAACATTGATGAGTAGAACTGGATACATCCATCCATGTTAGTGAACCAATATCTGGACTTGCCCCTGTGAAATGATTTTTCATTCATTGAAACAGACTTTTTTCTCAGAGCCAGTTTCCCTTGAGCTCTACCTCTCTAAGACATTCTCTTGCTATTTTTTCTGGACGAAGTCATGTGGTAGGGGAGGGTGCATGGGAGTATCATGGGAAAATGATGTTGGTAGGTCAGGAAACAGGACTTTGTTCCCAAGAAGAGTCTCGGCACAACTTCCTCAGCATCGTTGCCGACTCCCCACAATTCCACTGCTCATCTGCAGGGATGTATGACCACTTCAGGACTGTCTTCACTATCTTGGACTGCATGTCCTTGTTATTAGTTGTCATGTGTGAAATGTGCTAATTTAGAGACTCCATGCTATGCTAACTTGCCTTCTGTCCCTTTTCCAAGAGCCTCATAGAGATAGTGTTTCAAGTGGCAATTTGGTGGAGTAAAATGTCTAAATTCCTAAATGAGAAGTATTAGTATTTGTTTTAACTGCATGTTCCTAAAAGGATGAGAGAAGCAATGATGAAGAGGCTATTGTTATGGTCTTTCCTCTCCAAGGGCCTTCTCCAAGAAAACATTCCCTTCATTTCTCCATGAAAACAAGGCTGGCTCTTTCCAGAAGGGTAGCCTCACTGGGGTAAGCTAGAATCTCTCCCGCCGTGCCCATCCTCATCCCAACTGCCAACAAAGTTCAGATGCAAGGCTCTTAACAGTGAGTGACAACATCTGATTCACAGAGAAGACAGTTTGATTCCTACAGCCCAGATGGAGTGTGCGGTGGTGACATTTAGAATGGACTTGTTTTTGAGGGAAAACATGGCATCTTCATATAGAAAGTGCAGAATAAATAATGGAGAACTGGGGAACTGTTTTCTCACTCTCAGTAATCATAGAAGACAGCATTAGTTTCAAAGCAGAACAGATCAAACTACCTTTTCTAAAAGGGGTTTTGGAGCTTCTTGAAATATTTCTAACCAAAGGAAATTTGGAAATGTTAGCCCTACACTTAAGTCCATTCTTCAAATAAGGCAAAGTCGAATGTAACTGTGAACAGAAATATCTTTAACTTTTTAACAGTACTGTTATAAAGAACTGCAATTCAGATTTCAAAATAATCCTTCAGTGTTGAGAAATCAGGTGATTTTCCTTCTTCCTCTTATCTCCTTCCATCCCATCCTAGTGTTTGCCAATAAATATTTAATGATCAGCTAAGGGAAACATGTACCCACACACACTTAATCTGCCTTATTAAGATTTTCTCCATTACTTCCTTGAGTCTAGAAAATCAACACAACAATATATTAAGCCCTGATTTGTAAGGTTTCTTGATTCCTGGGGTATAAATGCTCACACTGAACATTTAACCATAAGTTCTTAAGCCCTTCCAGCTGTCTCCAGCATACTCTTAATTCCCATCCCACTTTACCCACCACCTTCCAAGTTTAAAAAAAAAAAGTGAATTGTAAGCTGCAAACTATAATAGGTAATATGCCAGGAAACTAAGATAAAGTAGGTGAAGAACTAGTAAAGAATTTAAAAAAAATTCACACGTGAAGGAAGGCCTACTATGTCTGCTATCATTAGGGTGCACGGACCTAAGTCATTGCAAGCAATTGTCTCCCTTGCTAGAGTGTAAGCTCTTTGCGAGTAGGGCTTGTATATCCATCTATCTATCTATCTATCTATCTAGATATAGATGTCTATACATCTATATATAGATAGATATATATGTGTATATATATATGTATGTATATCTATATATATGTATATATATATATATTTTTTTTCTTTGTATATATAGATCCCAAGCACCTAGCACAGTACCTGGCCCATAGCTCGTGTTTAATAAATAATTGTTGATTGATTGATTCCAAAGTTATGATTATTTCTGACATTTGCTGAGGCCTGAGGTGAACCCTAGAATTTTGAAAGGGTCTTCTCTCAAGGAGGGAAAGAAGGTAGCTTACACATATATACCCGTAAGCCAAGGTAATATAAAATGTATTGTGGTAACAAAGCTATTTCAGAGTATTCAGAAGAGGGAAAGATCGCGTCCAGCTAGAGTGTTTAAGGGTAGCGTCCTGGAAGAAGTGCTATTTGAGCATAGATTTGAAGGATAAAACTTTCCTTCAACAGGTAGAGATGGGAGCAAGGGTATTCCAAGCAAAGAGAATGGGATGATCAGAAGCAAAAAGATGGAAGAAGGCCAAAGGCATGTTTAGGGAACAACACATGGCCCAGTTTGACTGGAGCACGGGGAGTTTGGGGAAGTAATGGAAGATAATGTTGGAGAAATACATTGGGACCAGATTAAGGAGAAGTTTGACTGTCTGTGTGGATTTGATTCTGTAGGCAATGGGGAGTCATTGAAAGTTTTTGAGCAGGAGGATACTGTGATTAGAGTAGTACTTTAAAATGATTAATTTGGTGGTAATATGCAGGGTAGGTTGAAGAGGGGAGAGATTGAAGGTAGATGTTGTACCCACTCACACTCTGATACCCTGGCTCTGGGTCCATTATGTTCCTATCTTAAGTGTCCTCTTTTCCCATGAAGAAGCTACTGGGGGCTCAGAATGTTCCATTCTGCTGTATTATATTTAGGGGAGCTGGCATCTCTCTCCCCAGATGCTTGAGAAACACACTTTTCCTTCCTTTCCCTTTCCTTCCCTTCTTTTCCTTCCCTTCCTTTACCTTTCTTTCCCTTCACTTCTTTTCCTTCCCTTCTTTTCTTTTTTCTTTCTTTCCTTTCCCTTTCCTTCCTTTCCCTTCCCTTCCCTTGCCTCCACCCCATCCTTTTCCTAAAGCTTATTAGATGTCGAAGCTTAAGTCAGTACCTCAATCTATAACATCTGTAAAAACTGAACTCATCTTCCTCCCTAATTCTGCTTTTCTCCACATTTTTTCTATTTCTATTAATGGAACCAGGACTCCTGGAATCCTAACCTTGAATTTATCTTTAGTTCTTTTATTTTCCTTGCCCTATACATTCAGTTTGTTGCCAAGTCCTGCCATTTCTACCTCCACAGTGTCTCTCATACCCAAGTTCCCCCTACCCACTACCATTATAACCCCCCTAGTCCAGGCCCTCATCTTCTCTCACTGCTAGAATTCTAATAGCCTCCCTCCACAAGTCATCATTCTGCTCTCTGAGTCATCTTCCTTACACCACCATGATGATGTCGTTCCACAAACTCAGTGACACCCCACTGCCCATTTAATAAAGTATCAATTCCTGACATTCAAGGGCCTCCACAGTCTGGTTCTACCCTCTCCACCTCACCTAACCTTATATTACTATTCCATCCAATTTAAACTACTCTTTCTGCCCTCCGTTCTCATTCTTCCTTTGGTCTCTATGCAGTGGCTCACATTCTCCCCATGCCAGGAATGACTCCATTACTTTCTGTCATAGGGCAATACCTGTTGAAGTTTCTCTCTATCTTCCAGGCTCAAATGACACACCATGTCCTCCATTAAGCCTTGCTTGACTCCACCCCACTTGGGTGAAAATTATCACTTTTCCAAACCCATTACAACTCCCAGATTCAAACCTCTATCCCTCTTACCTGAACTCGGGTAATACATAGCTCCCCTACTAGTCTCTCTGCCTCTAGTTGTTCCTATTTGCAATGTATCTTTCATATCATATCCAGAGTAATCTTCCAAATGCAAAAGTCTGGCAGTGTTATTCAGCACTTGAAAAACTTTAGTGGCTTACTGTCTATTTAATAAAACATTAATTTAGTCTGGCATTCAAGACCCTCCACAACCCTGACTCCCACTCACTTCTACAACCTGTTTTCATAGTACCCCATCCCCAGCCTCTTTACACATTATGCAAGTGAACTGGACAACTTGCATGCTTTTCCCATGCATGGCATGCAATCTTGGCCTGTCTCCTTCTCTGCCCTTTGAAGTCTTTATGCCTCCTTTAAGACCACAACTCAGGTGGCACTTCGCTCCTATATGTTGATATTTTCCCTCTCCTCGAACCTCTCAGATCACTTTTACCTACAACCTCACAACAAGATTTTTAAAGGAAAGATGAGAAAGCACTGATACTTTATTTTCAATCTGTGTTGAAGGTACATGCATATGTCTTACTCCTTACTGGATTATGAACTTCTTGAGGGTAAGGACTACTGAAAGTACTGAAGAAACACTTTTAAAAAGCTTGATCTGCATAATTAACATTTTCTCCATCACTTTCTTAAATCTAGACAATCAACAAAACAATAAATCAAACCCTGTTTGTAGCATTTGCTGATTTCCAAGGTGTAAATGCTCACGCTGAAAACTTAACAATCCAGCTGGTTGGAAATGACTCCAACGCCTTCGTAACCAGGGCACTGGGGATATTGAAAATGGAGTGAAGAGCTCTCAGCAGGATAAAGAATTGCTGGAAGGAAGGACGAGAAGCTGTGCTGAAAACAT